GCAATGTTATCTGAAGTTCTCAATAAGGTGAGACAAATCAGGACAGAAGAGATTTTCTCTTGCTTCTGAGCAACACCAGGCAGGACACTGCTATGATTTTCTAGATTTTAGATGCTCAAGACCCCGAAGGAAGGGAATACGCCTTATCTTCATATCACCCAGGAACACTCAGATTCCTTGGATGTAATGTGGGGATTGAGAGCTGTAAGAGACTGCAGAAACCATTTAGTCCAATCCCCTTCTTATAACTGGGGAGACAGAGTCAGAGAAATGAGAAACTTCAGCCCTTATGATCTGTTCTGGCAGAATGAAGGGTTAGGACCTGGTTTCCTGACTTCCAGATCTCATCCTTTAAAACACTTACACACACACACACACACACTCTCACACTCATACCCACTCACCCCAGTTTGTTGAGGATGGTCTGGTTCTGGTTTTGCCTGAATATTTGATATGTCGTCCTTGCTTACTTACTGATGGAGCCCTGTGTCACTGTCATAAGTGTGTTAGTATGGGTGAAAAATTACAAGGTTAACCAAATTATGTGAAATCACCCTCCCTTCCCATAACTGATAAGGAAAAAGGGTGAAAATGCTGGTTTTTCTAGAGGTAAGTGTAATCTGAGGACTGCTTTGCTCAAGGCATGATGTGATTTCAGAATGGAGTACATTATAGAGGTAATGAATGTTCACATATAGAGAGTTTGAATTAGCATGATGATCATCGTCGTCTACTGTCAGGGCATGGAGGGGAACCTCTGAGCTAACACCAACTTCCCAGCTTCTAGCACTGTCACGTGGCTACTAAGGAAGGCATGATTTCAATGTAAGAAAGTCATAGAGGATACATGTGGGGAACTGGTGCTAGATTGAGCAAGACACATTTGTACTGTGACATAAATGCCCATTGTGAAATTATGAATGCCTGAACTGGTTAAGTTTGTGGCCACGATGAGGTGAAATCACAAGGCGGTTGAATGATGCCTTGTGTTTGCACTTGACTGTGCATGCTTCACTGTGCCAGGCTGCTGAACAGCTGAGTTGGGCCTTGTTCTCTTTCCATTCTGTCATTCCTATCCACCTACCCACCTACCTACCTACCCACTTACCTACTTACTTATGCCAAGTTGGTAGCAACATGTGTCATCTTGGGTTAACATACTTTTATATGGAACTGTATTCCCAGTTATGTAAAATAAATCACTGGGGAAGTAATATTTGATATGTATAATTTCACTTGACAGATTTTTTTTTTCAGAACCAGAGCTTTCTGTATGTTAACATATGCCCACATCAATCATCTGTTATCCTTCATAATTAAATGTAACAGTATTGATTCTGGAAACAATTTATGTTGAGCTGGATTTTTTTCTTTTCAGTGGAGAAGAAGGGAAAGAGAGAGGAAGCAGCTGGAGGCAGGAAACTTGTGCTGATCCATGCATCTCTCTACTTGTTCTCTTTGTCATCAAGGGCACTATAGCTGAAAGGCAGGGGGATAGGGAGAGGGCCACCTCTTCATGTCATCTCTGTGCCTTGGACAGTTCTTCTCCCTGGATACCACCTGATAAAGACCTACACTTCTCTCCTTGTCGTGTGCATCTGTTCATCGGTGCACATGCGCCCTGTCTGAATAGACAAAGGAGGGGGACATATGCTCTCAGACCTTGCTTCCTGGCCATCAGCTTTAAGCAATGGTCTCTGAAAATGCTCTATTTTTAAGAGCTGGGTCTGAAGCAGAGCTAACTGGTCTGCAGAGCAACAACACCCTTTACCTCAGCCTCATTAGCTCCATTCTCTTACCTACCGCGCTCACCACTACCGACATCATAATACTTGAGAGAAAGCTCATGACAGCGTATGCGGTGGCACATCTGTATTTACTTGGTTTGAGAGTAGCTCTCAGAGTAAGCCAGCTTTCTCTATTGCTGAGCTCCTGCAAATGAGAACAACAAGCACACCTACTTCTGAGTCAAATCAGGCCAAGGGGAAAAGAGGAAGGATCTGGGAGGAGGAGAGACCATAAGCCTCCAATCACACTCAGGAATAAAATGGGGCTAGAAATTCCAAATGAGATTTAAAAAAAAAAATAATGAGAGAAAGAGAGAATGAGAGAGAGAACGAAAACCCATCACATACCCTTTGTATCTGAAAGGCAGGCTAGGTAATATATTTCTTGCTTTAATGTCAAGCTTCAGTAAACCCACCTCCTCTTCTTTAGAGTGGCTGGTGGCTATTATGCAAGCCGGAAATGCACATGGCAGGAAGAGCAAAAGAATGAAAAACCGAATTGGGGGAGGAGGGCAGCTGCTAAATTTAGCAAGGGTAGAGTGAGGGGAGGAAAGGATGAGAGGAAGGCAGGGAGCCTGCACAAAATGCTGTCCGTTCTCCATCACGGAAGCGAGGGGCCCTGCTGTGAAATGCTTGGCACAAGGAGGTGATGTCAGTCGCCTGGAGTCAGGCTCTCTTTCGTGAAGTGTTAATTAGGAAAAACAAGAAACTTCTCATCTTTTGGTTTGCCAACAACCAAACAAAAATGTTAGCCCTGCTCTTGGGGATGAGCAATCATTTTAAGGAAATGCCCCAAGGGACCACGGTTGGAGGTCCCTAGTAATCTGGACCTAAGGAAAAGTACATATGAAGAAATTGGTGCACGTTTGGACGTCTGTTGTCTGACCGATCCAAGCGGGAGGATGTGGGTATCATGACCCTCAGAGGCACGATCCATCACTGAGTGCTCAAGCTGTTCAACTGTTTAATGCAATGGTGTTCAAGTAAGGTGTTTTTTGGTTTTGTTTTGTTTTGTTTTTCTGAGACGGAGTCTCGCTCGGTTGCCCAGGCTGGAGTGCAGTGGTGCGATCTCGGCTCAGCCTCCCGAGTAGCTGGGACTACAGGCACCCACCACCATGCCCGGCTCAATGTTTTGTATTTTCTTTCTTTTTTTTTTTTTTTTGTTGAGACAGAGTCTCGCTCTGTCGCCCAGGCTGGAGTGCAGTGGCGCGATCTTGGCTCACTTCAAGTTCCGCCTCCCAGGTTCACACCATTCTCCTGCCTCAGCCTCCTGAGTAGCTGGGACTACAGGTGCCCACCACCATGCCTGGCTAATTTTTTTTTGTATTTTTAGTAGAGACGGGGTTTCACCGTGTTAGCCAGGATGGTCTCGATCTCCTGACCTCGTGATCTGCCCACCTTGGCCTCCCAAAGTGCTGGGATTACAGGCGTGAGCCATCGTGCCCGGCCTCAAGTAAGGTTTTTATACTCTATTTCCGGGCCCCAGCACCTATTGTGGAACTAGGTCCAGGGCCTGAATTAAATTCTGGTCTTTTGCTTTCTATCAAGGATTAAGAGGAACAACCGGGACACTTTAAATAAACACGGACACTGAGTGTACTCTAACCAGCCTCCTCTGATGCCTGATGCAGAAAGCCCTGATCCAACACTGAGTTCATAGATTTGGGTGTTTTTCTTTCCTTCCTCCAGCTTTTATTACCCCCTGCTAAAAACATCTTCAATGACTTCCCACTTCTTTCCTCCATATTCCAGAAATCAAAAGTTCTCCACACTCTGGTTCCAAGCTAAGCCCCTTGAACTAGCTCTGCAATGACAAAATGGTGATCATTGTGAAGGCAAGGGTGATGGCTCAGAGGGGTTTATGTATTTTATTTTATTTGGAGTATGTTTGAAATTTTTTTTTTTTTTTTTTTACGGAGTCTAGCTCTGTTGCCCAGGCTGGAGTGCAGTGGCCAGATCTCAGCTCACTGCAAGCTCTGCCTCCCAGGTTTACACCATTCTCCTGGCTCAGCCTCCCGAGTAGCTGGGACTACAGGCGCCTGCCACCTCGCCCCGCTAGTTTTTTTTTTGTATTTTTTAGTAGAGACGGGGTTTCACCGTGTTAACCAGGATGGTCTCGATCTCCTGACCTTGTGATCCGCCCGTCTCGGCCTCCCAAAGTGCTGGGATTACAGGCTTGAGCCACCGCGCCTGGCCGTTGAAATTTTTTGTAATAAAAGAGTGGGGGAAGATAAGCTCTATAATCCAAGTCATCTAATTGCTGTCTGTTCCAAAGCCTTACCCTACCCTTATGTCATTTTCTTCGCCTGGAATGTTCTTCACTTCAACCTTATCAGAGTCCTGCTGGATTTCTAAGGCGGGGTCCACAACCTCCAGGTCACTGACCGGTACCAGTCCATGGCCTGTTAGAAACTGGGCTGCACAGCAGGAGGTAAGCGGTGGGCAAGTGAGTGAAGCTTCATCTGTATCTACAGCTGCTCCCCACTGCTCGCATTACTGCCTGAGTTCCACCTCCTGTCAGATCAGTAGCGGCATGAGATCCTCATAGAAGCACAAACGCTATCATGAACCGTCCATGTGAGGGATCTAGTTGTGCACTCCTTACGGAATCTAATGGCTGATGATCTGTCACTGTCTCCCATCACCCCCAGATGGGATCGTCTAGTTGCAGGATAACAAGCTCAGGGTTCCCACTGATTCTACATTATGGTGGACTGTATAATTATTTCATTATGTATTACAATGTAATAATAATAGAAATGAAGTGCATAATACATGTAATGCACTTGAGTCATCCCAAACCATCCCTCACCTACACTGTTGGTGGAAAAATTGTCTTCCACAAAACTGGTCCTTGGTGCCAAAAAGGTTGGGGACCACTGCTCTAAGGCATACTCCAGAGCTGCTTCCTTTATGAGCAGACCCTGCTTCCTGTACCTGGCTGTCACTGACCCTTCCACCACACCTTTACAGTGCCTACTATACAGTTATGCTTCTGTGCTTCTGTGCTTCTGTGTACATCCATCTCACTGCTTCACTTTGATTATGAGCTTCAGGGAACCAAGAGTGTATCTTGCACATCGTAAGCACTCAGTAATTGTCTGCTGAATGAAAAGTGAACTTACACGAATAAGACCAGCTTATCAAGTTAACAATTAAACTTCTTGGATTTGTCTAAACCTCAGGCAAGAAAAGAGAAGCCTCTTCCAGTACCTTCTTCATGGTTCTGATGCAGTATAACCTCCGGCTGTGTGTGTATAGAGTTTCCAGGGTGGAAGAATGGTGAAAAAAGAATCCGAGGTTTCCTCTGCTTCAGAATATGCTGAAGGAGTTCATAGAGCACATCACCTGGAAAGAAAAAGGAAAGGGAAATCGAGAAATGGAAAATTTTTTTTCCAACAACAATTGACGGAGCAGCAGCCATGTGCCTGGCACTGTGCCAAAGATACAACTGGAGAGCAAAACAGGCCTGCCACCTCCTACCCTCACCAAGCTCACGGGACACAGAATGCAGCACTGGAAACTCAAAAGGTCAGAGCTATGTGAAGTTTTAAATCAAACTTTTTTGATCATGAAAATCATAAGCTTTTTTTTTTTTTTTTTTTTTTTGAGACAGGGTCGCACTCTGGTGCCCATGCTGAAGTGCAGTGCCACGATCTCAGCTCACTACAACCTCCACCTCCCGGGCTCAAGTGATCCTCCCACCACAGCCCTCCAAGTAGCTGGGACCACAGGTGCGAACCATCACACCCAGCTAATTTTTGTATTTTCAGTAGAGACAGGGTTTCACCATGTTGTTCAGGTTGGTCTCAAACTCCTGAGCTTAAGTGATTCACCCGCCTAGGCCTCCCAAAGTGCTGGGATTACAGGTGTAAGCTACTGTGTACGGCCCCAAAAATGTTTTAAAAAGGCAGAAAATCAGAAAGAAAACAAAACATTACCTAGAATCCCATCACTAAGATACAGAAGCCCTGTTAATACTATCTACAGTTCTATAGTTAGACTCAGGCTTTTAATAGTTGAGTATCCTCTCTTCCCTCACATTAGGATTTGAACATTTTCCCACATTACTGAACTGCTTCAGTAGCTGCCTAACAACGGCAGGGAATTTAAACGATCCCAATTTATTGCTCTTGTATTTGTGAGGATGTTCTTTTTACATCTATCTTAGTTTGCACTTCAGATTACTCGAAGAATTATGAAGTCATTAAGAACATTTGTAATGCTCCAATGACAACTCATAGATTCTTCATAGACATCTTCCCTACAGAGAAAAATATGCCTTTTTAACCAACCTCAATCCTAGGCAGGAAAAGAATAAACATGAAAAAAATTCACGAGTCCAGTTAGAGGTGGTAACTATTCAAGATACTCTATAAGGAACTGGCATGTTCTGGGATGCTTCCCTCCTTTAAAAATGCACACAGGCATTGTTCCAAGGTTCCACAGTCTCTAGAAAATCATCTAGAGATGTCAGGCCATAGTCAGAGGATAGTAGGGGCTGGGTTGAGCGGGCACCTTTCTGTTCTGATATATTTGGTATTTGAAGTGTCCAAGGATTAATTAGCAAAAAACAAAACAAAACAAAAAACAAAAACAAAATCAAAACAAACCCAAAACGTGTCATGGTCTTGTCCCACCCCTTGACTCTTAGATCCAAGTTGAAAATGCAGGTGGGTACCTCAAAACCCTTTGGGGGTGGGTGATTAATCTTTAAAATATCACAGGCCTCTGACTATCTCCGCACACCCTTCTCCACACACAGATAGGCAGTCAGCAGTAATAACAAACAATGGGCCTTTGTCTCTAATTTTAGTGATTTTTTAAACAAATATTTTAATTACCATCTTAAATTCAAGGCATATTTTGGGTTGAAGATATTGCTATATTATTTTTTCTTTCAAGCTCAGCATGGACCTGAGAAACGTTCCATATTAATGTCTTTTTTTCTACAAACACCCGCTCCTCTATCACTGATACTAAATAAAGCTCCAAGGATACCCGATTCTAAGGGATTCCTGAGGGAATTTTGTGTTTTCGCCTTGACTTTGTTCCTTCCTCTACCTTTGAAATTTGGTTGCTGTTAGTATAACTTTCTGCCACTACTTAGTATCATGACTAAATAAAGCAAAATACTTCAAAGACCTGCAGACACCATGTCACTTAGGTATTTTATTAAAAGGAGATGGGCAGGAAGATACAGAGGTGTCCTGGACCAGACTTTTGAAACTGCTATGTATAAGGGAGAACCATGGCACACATGACTGCATTTGAGAGCTGAGAACGGCTTTGGAATTCATTGAATCCAAACCTAGTAGTCATGGTGATGTCTCTGATGAGGCGGGGATAAGCAGCCTGAAATACAGTCCTATTTTAATGATTCATATTTTAATCTCATACAAAAATAAGCCCCTAATCAACACTTTGTTTCTTTTGGTTTAGTGTAATGACTTCCTGAACTTTTGCTAATTTACATGGCCTCACACTTGCTGGGTTTTATCAATGTTTTTTTTGGTAGTATGCGGAATAGAAAAATGAAAACATTGAAAAATGTGTTACTGATGATTACTATTACTAAAAAAAAAGGTCAGTAATTAGTGTATCCATTTTGGAAGGGGAGGCCAGGAAATATAAATTTAGTGTCTGTGATGCTGTTCAGCTTGGTTCACTTAACCAGGCGAGCTGGTGTGGTGGTGGAAGGTGCTGACTGCAGAGGTGGGCACGGCTGCCTGGGTGGGAGTCCCAACTCCTGTGCACCAGGTGACCTTGAGCAAGTCCCTGCACTTCTCTGCAAAATGCAAATAATGGCACCGACCTCCAGCATTTGCTATGAGGGTTAAAGGAGGGAAAGGACAAGAAGCACCCAGAGTAGGGTTTGGTGCACAAACTGTTCCCTGGACCCCTCTTAGTGGCTGCTTCTGGGCTTGGGGTGGCTCAAACAAGGGCTGGAGAGCAGGCAGGTGACTTTTCCTTCTATGTTTTCATGAGAGAGAAACTGAGGAAAGACAGCAGCATGGTGAAGAGGCCATGCTCTGGAGTCAGACTGGTGCCTCCACAGGAATGCCCCTTAAGTGTCCTCATCTATAAAATGGCAATGTTGATGGCATCTACCTTGTGGGATCGTTGTAAGGATTCAATAAGGTGGTCTATGTAATGAGCTCATCATGGCGTGAGGCAAACAGGAAAAGCTCAGTAAACACTCGTCACTGCTTTTACCACCACCACCGGGAACACTCCCATCATTACTATTCCTGATCTTATTATAGTGGCTTAGGACAGGTGCGTAGATCTCTAAGGAGGTCTCACATGGAGAACAGAGGAGTATCTGGGTCACGGCCAACTTTATGTTCCCCTTCCCGAAAGGGTAAAGAAGGCTAACTGAGGTCACTCTTCCAGTCTTGGGTTCGCTGGATGCCTCATCCTGACCTGGTGGGTTAAGCCTCTGGGGGGCTGACACGTGGTCTGCCGCACACCTCCCAGGCTTCTGCGCAGGCTCGCTTCAGCCTCCCATACTGACGCTGGCCAAGGGAGCAGGGACAGAGGGGTTCTTCCCAAGTGTGTAGGAGGAAGCTGGGGGAGGGGCAGGTTAACTGGACTCAGCCAGTTTCCTACCTAGACCATAAACCTATTACGAGACTAATAAGGCATCAGGAGTTATCTTAAATGCTATCCATGAGGTGGCTATGGGTGGGAGCATGAACCTGAGGTTCCGGGTACCGGGCCAGGAAAAAACTTAGTTCTAAGACCCAGGAGTGTGGCCTTAGTTGAGTCATTCCATGCACAGACATGTTTCCTCAGCAACCAGGGGCTCGGTCAGGGAATGCGGCCGGCTCAGCAAAAACACGTCACCACCACGGGGACAGGGACCACTTGCTGTGCATGCACTATGAGCATATGATTGGCCGTGATAGTGTGCCCCAATAATAACTTGGAATATTAGACCTAGACAGGATTCTAGAGGTTTCTTAGACTGACTCAAACTTTGCTCACTAAAAGTCTCCCACCTCCCCTTCACCCAGAAAGAAGTGGCTTTGGCTAGGTAATTACAGTGATGGGTAGCCGGCCACGGCACAAGCAAACCATTTTTGGACAGCTCTAGTTGACAGAAAGTTTCTCTGCTGAGGTGAAATCTGGCTTCCCCCACAATCCCTGTACTTTGGTTCTTAGTTTTGGCTTCTGAAGTAACACAGAATATGTGTCTTGTCTATAGCAGGTTTCTAAGTATATGAAGACGGCCCTCCATCTTCTTTCATTTCCAGTGTCCCTTCATGCCTCAACACCCAGCCTGCTCTCTTGATGTATTCTTCAAATTTTCATATATGTAGGAGAGGAGGTCACATCCGAAAGGTGTTATTAACAAAAAATCTGGCTACGCGCTGTGCCTCACACCTATAATCCCAGCACTTTGAGAGGCAGAGGAAGGAGGATCACTTGAGCCCAGGAGTTTGAGACCAGCCTGGGTAATATAGTGAGATCCCCATCTCTACAAAAAATACAAAAATTAGTGGGGTGTGGTGATGCATGCCTATTGTCCCAGCTACTCGGGAGGCTGAGGTGGGAGGATTGCTTGAGCCCAGGAGGTCGAGGCTGCAGTGAGCTGTGATCGCACCACTGCACTCCAGTCTGCATGACAGAGTGAGACCCTTTCTCAACCAACCAACCAACCAACCAACCCCAAAACAGTCTCTGGGATAAAGAATATATTTAAAAATAAGTTATATTTATTTGCCTACTGAAAATAAGAGCATGTGCCACAGCACTGTATATCTAACTTAGCTAATGGCTGAAATTCAAAGGGCATTTTTCGGAAAATTCATAACCCATTTGATTTTTGATTTTTTTTTTTTTTTTTTGAGATGGAGTCTTGCTCTGTTGGAGCAAGGCTGGAGTGCAGTGGCATGATCTTGGCTCACTCCAAGTTCTGCCTCCTGGGTTCATGACATTCTCCTGCCTCAGCCTCCCGAGTAGCTGGGACTATAGGCGCCCGCCACCATATCTGGCTAATGTTTTTGTATTTTTTTAGTAGAGACAGGGTTTCACTGTGTTAGTCAGGATGATCTTGATCTCCTGACCTCGTCATCCGCCCACCTCGGCCTCCCAAAGTGCTGGGATTACAGGCATGAGCCACTGCGCCCGACCACCCATTTGATTTTTAATAAATCTCCCCTCTCTTCCCAGAAAAGAAACACAATGACTGGTCCTAACCAGTACTTCTATTGTACTATTCAATGGAACTGAGCCGTACTGGTCAAAGAACCATGGTTTTCATTGGTTCCTCCATCTGTCTTCACGCATACATACACAGTTCATGTAAACACACGCATGTGCAGAGGTAGATGTGCCACAAA